GAAAAGGAAAGAAAAGAAAGGAAAAAGGAAAAAAAAGGAAAGAAAAGAAAAATAAAAGAAAATGACATGTGTAAAATATAACAGTCCAGAAATGCGCCCATACACACTTCTGGATTAAATAAATTACTGTGAATAATTTAAATACCTTAGAATTATTTAACTCAATTAATTAAATCAGATTAGGCACACTAATAATCTCAATTACCTTAATTAATCTCAATTAATTCTTCAGGGTGTTACATGACATTTTTAATAAATCCTCTTATGATGACGTTTTGAAGAAAAACGTATATATGTATTTTTATGTTTTTAAATGGCGTTGTACACCCTTAATTTGACCGGTGAGCGGTCTTATTGCCACGGTTGGTATGAGATTTGCTACCCCATGCTTTCCGTGGCTAGCGCGCTATGATGGTACAACGTCAGGCCCAATATATGATGGATTTTAAAGTTTAAACATGTTTAAAAATAATTATTCTCATGATGATGTTTATTCTTAATGAATAAAAATGTTCATTTAAAGTTGTGAGAATTAAGTGTCTTACTAAGCCCTTGCTTATATAAGTTATTTCATGTTGCAGACAATCTAAAGGGTAAGATGTAGCCATGGAGAATATTGGAGCGGATGCGAGCTATGTGTAATAGGAAAACGGGAGAAATGATCATGGGATGAAAGTGTGTAATGTTAAACAAAGTTTTTACTTTATACTTTTATTGTTTTGGAATTTTGGTTTATGGTGGTTTTGATTTGAAGAATATTTTAGACTTTATAGATTTTAATAATTAAGTTGAACCGAAGGTTATTTTATTTTTCCTTGAGGAAGTTCAAAAATTTTAAAGATAATATATTTTTTTAAAAAAATTAGGCTTTTCTTTAAGTCATTCAAAGTAAAGTGTTTCAAGGTTAATAATTTTCCGCATTCTTTAAGAGGTAAATGTTTGAAAGTTAAGATAACTATGACGATCCGTGATGGGTCGTTACAGTTGAACAATGAATTATACTGAGAATTTGGTTTCTGCGAATTCAACCACAAACTAAGTTGTTCTTAGTTAGGATTGTTAATGGAACTAAGATTGTACGGATGATGGTTAATTTCTAAGTTGCTTGAGTTTTTATTCATGTTCATCTGTGTATGTTTAATGCTTATTTCTATTTTTGTCTAACCATCAACTATAGGATACAAGACTTAGATTAATACTGAAAAGGTTAATTTAAGTTGGATCTAACATAGATGATGCAAGTTCAATATGCTTGTTTAAGTTTGTTGATTTGTGAATGGTATAGGAATATATTATTCATCTTGCATAACTAAATGGAACCAGTACTGAAATCTGTAATCTGAGAACTAGATTCACATAGGAATATGCTGAAAATGGTTTGAAGAATTTAAGTCATAATTAATTCGGAAGAATTTTATGCAAAAATTAAGTTTCAATTAACTGGATTAAAAATGTTGTAGCATTCCTGTAGCATTCCTGTAGCATTAAGGCCTGACTTACAACTAAGGTGAAATCAATAGTCCTAACCCATTTAATCATTGAATTAAGATCTATAGCTGCATTATCATTATCTTTACTATTTCTTGCTGCATTTACATTGCTTCCTTTCGGTCCAATTAGTTTATTGAATTGTAGTTAGTTGATTCTTTTATCAAATTTGGTGTTTGAGGTGACTTTTACATTCTATTATCGATGATTTAATCTTCGTAGAATCGACACTCTTATTCACTCTTTATTATTTGATTGTGGCAGGTGCACTTACGAGCATAAAAATCACGCAACATGCATCAAACAAAAAAAAGGGGGAAAGTTTTTTGAGATTTATTAGACCTAAATGACAATCGTAAACATTCCCTTATAATTTTACTATCTTCCTTTTAAAAGAAAATCATATACTCATACGTGATGATAACATTCCAAAAAGCAACTCCTCACTAACAAAAAGGTCCTTTATGTGACAAAAGCAAACTTCGGGGGTGCAACATGCTACCTATTGATTTGTCAGGGCTAAAGTTAGACAACTCTTGATCCTCAGGGGCAAAAGTTAAAATAACTTGCAAGTGGGGTCCGCTTTCTAAAGAAACAGTGGGGTCGGCAATCCGCATACGACAATAGTGATGAGCAATCTAGCGAACTGACCAGTTAAAAAAAGAAAAAAGAAAAACGACCAAGAGATTCATTCGTTATAAAATATCCCCAAAATAAGAAGGAAAAAAAGAAAAACAAAACTAATTTTATTTTATTTTGGTGTGTTTTCTGAGTTGAAGACTTCACTCGAGACACAACGGGAAGTCTCTCAATCCCATTGTCGGCTCGCACTCGCACTCTAGGGTTTCTGCTTTTCTTCGCCATGGCTGTTTTTCTCTCTCTCTGAACATTTTCTTTCACAAGTAAGTCTCTTTTTTTTTTTTTTTTTTTTTTTTTGCAAAAACTTCTTTACATGTTCTACTCGATTGGTCTTTAGGGTTCTGTTATTAGTCCTTTTTCCTCTTTGCTTTTCTGTCCTTGTTCGTTTATGCTCGATTCGAGTTTGTTTAATCAGTGTTGTTGCGTTCTAGGCTTTCGAGATTTAGAGAGAAAATTAGGGCTTTTTAGGTCTTTTTGTTAGAGCGTACGATAAGAGTTGCAAGTTGAAAACTTTTCGATTATTTGAAAATTTTAAGTTTTTAAGAATTGGTTTGTCCAATCCTTTTCTCACGATTTGAAGCTTGAACAGTAAGAAAATGGTTTTTATATATTTATATACATAAATATACACACACATATATTAGTTGAAACCGCGCGTGTATGTGAATCCGGTAAAAAGGAAAAATATATTTATTAGGGTCTCATTTGGAGAAGTAAAAGAAAATGTATAATAGGATAAAAAGGATAAGAATGAAAAGAAAAAAAAGAGGAAGACAAGAAAAAAATGTATAGTAGGGCAAAAAGAGAAGAATGTAAAAAGGGTAGAAAAAAGAAAGAAGAGAGGAAAGTTTTAAAATATAAGCAAAGAAAGAAGTAAAAAGTAAAAAGTGAAAAAAAAAAAAAAAAAAAAACCTAGTGGAAGGCAAGAAAAAAACAAAAAGAAAACGTTTCGCGTGCATGTGAAACTGCCATGCGAAACTTATTTTGATTTAGTATATAAGGTATAGGATGTTTGATAGGTTTTGAGATATTTAGCATCACGTTGACATACGCCCAACCACATATGTATAGGTGCGTTTGATGGAGTGATATTTTGATTTTTCCCACTTTGTTGTGTACAAGGAAGACATAGTTTAGGATTTGCAATTTTTTCCCCATTTTGTTAAACTGGAATGATTAGATCAGTTGACAAGAACGTGTTTGTTTTTGCTATGTTTCTTTGTCTACTAGTTTCTTTATCGTTACGTAGTCTTTGCTTTGTAAGAATGTACTAAAATAATGAATACTTTAAGGATACATTGCAGGCATGGTAATTCAGCTCTAACATGGTTTTCATTAATGATTGTTTCATTTGAGTATGTAAACTCTTGTTAAGGATGGTATTTGCATTCCATCTTCTAATGTAGTATTTGATTTTAGTTATGTATGATGCTTGTCTTGTTTCTATTATCAGTTAAAAAGTTGTTTGATATTGCCTATTTTGTTTGGTTAGAGTTGTCAAATCGTTTGTTTAAGGTTTCATCCATGCACTTGGGCACGTTACTTGGGTCCGCAGAGACTGGTGTTACTATAGATAGTCTAGTGTGTCTTAGCTCTATGTGTATCGTAGGAGTGCTAATGTCAAATATAATTTTCTGCAGTGCTTTCATGGGTCCACTGTGTGGAAGGACTTCAAAGTTCATCCAAAAAGTAACTGATTGCAATGGCATTTTGTCCTTTTACAAGAGCAACATTGGATATTAGCACATGTTAATGGATCTGTGAAATTTTTAGTGGGGATTTCGAAAAGAGGTTTGGAGATGGAAATGAAATATTAAAATACTTGGGAAAGAGAATGCATCAAGCTTGGGAGTAAATTTCATCAATATTATGATGAAGTAGGAGACAACCCTGAAAGCATCAACTTATTAGTTATTGGAGTCTTCATGTGCAATATTTGTAATTGCTCATTCATGAAAAACCATGTTAGATATGCTTCTAAAAAGAAGCATGTCGGATTTGGTCGCATAAAAATGGCAAGAGGAGATGCTTGATTCATACTAGAGTATCAGTATGCACAATGAAATCGCTTTCCATAGGCAAAAGTGCCATGCGTTTGAAGCGAGCATGTAGCCAGTTGGGTGATATCTGAGATTATTGGAGATAGACTTGGAAATGTCTTATTGCTTTGTGGTCAATTTGGCTCGAGGTTATTAACAATACTTTAGATATAGATATTACACAAGACAGGCATTTATAAGAACTCAAATCTGGTGGATTTTTCAGGCAATATCAATCTTTGTTCTTTGTCAAATGTGCGTGCCTGCATGGCAAACTGACATTTAGTACTATGTCGTTTGGAATCATACATTCAAAGATATTGAAGCAATGAGCCATGCCTTGTAAAATCTTTTTGTGATTCTAAGAGGCAAATCAATTCTGTACCTTAGAATATGGTGTAGGATATTTCCAAAAAGTTGAGGGGGCAGTGTATTGTTTTTCAGTTACTGCTGCTATCGGGCATCTGAATTGTTAGTATTCAAGTGTTGAGTCAACTTCCTGTAATTGCGAAAACGTTTTAGTATTTCATGATAATTCAATGGGCTTTTGTATGTGATTTCTAAGAGATTTGTCTTGCCCTAATTAAGATGTCAATGTTGATCCAATGGGAGAATTTTCTACTTTTATCATACAGCTTTATGTGATTAAGCACTTTTCTAAATTAGAATATTAGTTGGTGTTATTTTGAAGCCTGGTCCTGTTATTTCCATTTTTATAAAAAAATGCTTGTAATGAAATTATGTTGCTCTAGTTCGTATTTATTAGCCTCTTACATTTCATTCTCTTGAACTTGTCAATTTTTTTCCTTGATGTTCACTGTATGCCGATAATGTTTCCAATTGGAGGTATAAGGTCCTACTATGCATAATCCAGCATTTAACTTTTGCCAGAAAAAAAAGCCTTGCATTTTACCGATAGGAGTGGACCTTACATGGAAGGAAAAAAGAAGGCATTTTCTCCAAGGCAAAGGCTAAATACTAATCCGTAATACGTAGAATCATAATATTGACTAAAATCACTGTGGTTGGTCAAGTCAAACAGGTTGGTCAAGTCAAACATTTGAATTGTTATTTTTTCTCGAGTCAAACATGTAAATTTTTCTCAACTTGTTTTGTTTTCTGAAGGTAAATTTTTGGCATTGTCTTGTCATTATCTTTTGTTTGATTTTTTGATTGAATTATAAACTTTTGTACTTCATTCGTTTATGCTTTGTAGAGTGGTTATTGTTCATCTTTTAATTGTTTTTCTGTTTCAAATTGTAAGTAACAAACTTCATATGTTGCTTTTCCATGAGTTGCTTTGGAATAATTTCAAACTTGTAGATACAAAATTTATTACCACCGTATAAATAATATTTTATATCATACTCAAGGGGAAAAAAAGGAGCATGGATGTATCAAGTCACTGAGACTGATTTGTTTGTTGTTTCCTCGTACCTTCAGATTGTCCTGCATATGGTCTACTAACAATAGTGCTCCTTCAGGCCTGAGAAATGAGTGGAAGTGGAAGGAAACGCTCTTCTAAATGGGACCAGGCTCAATTTGATGATGAGAATGCTCAAGATGATAGCTGGCATGGAAAATCAGGTAGGTCATTTTATCCCAGAGAATCAGGGCATGGATGGCAGTCTCCGGAGCTTGTTGGCAATAATGGTTCAAAGTGGTCTGCTTTAGAAACAAATGATCTAAGATCTAAGCGTGATTCAGTACTTCCATCTAGAGAATCCCGAGGTTCACATAAGAATGAGAATATTGATAAGGATGACAAGAGATACGTAGAAGAGTCCATGGCATATAAGGATGACAAGAGATATGTAGAAGAGTCCATGGCATGGGATGCCAATGAAGATTATGGTACAAGAATGTCTCCGGGTCTTGATGAATGGAGACATCAACATCCTAGTCAATCTCCTAAAAGTGGCTGGAGCAGGTCACTGAGGTCGGTTCTACTTCAATCATGATATATCAAGTTCTTGGGTGGCCTTTTTTTTTAAATTTTTTTTATTTTAATCTAATCTAATGTATCAGCTATTTAGATGTGATATAAGTTGTTTTTTTATAGCAGCATACTGTTGCTCCTTTCATTTAAATGGATACATGTTCATTATCTTTGTTTCCATTAAATGTGATTCTTCGCCCTTTATGTGAACTTTGTTTCTCCAACCAAGGAACGACATTACTTGGCTAATTTTTCATGGATTCACATTCAGAAGTTTTACACTTTGTGTTATTGAGAAGTTTTGCTTTTTGATCTCATGGAGTTTTTTAGTTTGGTATTTTACAAGGGATCGTTGCACTCAGCTTTTCTAGTCATTTTGGATTGAATTTTCCTTTTCTTGCCTTGTTAATGGCTACTACATGCAGGGATAGGAGCAGAAGCCGGAGTAGGAGCAAGAGTAGGGGTAGGAGCAGGAGTCCTGTTCGTAGTCTCAGGAGAGAATCAGGGTTTCCTGATAGAAGTAGAAGCAGATCTGGAGTATCCAGTCAATTGTGTAAAGACTTTATTGCTGGGAGATGCAGGAGAGGAAACCATTGTATGTTTCTTCACGAGGGTAATGAAGATTATGATGATTACTGGGATAGTAGACATAGGAAAGGTACAAGCTCAAAATATTCCAATCTTGATACTAGAGACTACCCATTAAGGAGTGGACGTCCTTCTGTGCCTTGTAATGATTTTGTGAAAGGAAGGTGCCGGAGGGGGGCATCTTGCAGGTTTGAGCATCATGGTGTGTCAGATGGATTCAGCAAAGGGTATTCTAACGAGGTGAGTAGAGACAAGGAAAATGACAGAATGAAAAGAGATAATTCTGCTGAGCGAGGTGTTGAGCACGAATTCCGTAGGACTAGTGATATTCCTTGCAAGTTTTTCGCTGCAGGAAACTGTCGTAACGGGAGGCATTGTCGGTTTTCTCATCATAGTCAGCCCTATGAAAGTCCTGATAGGAAATCACAAGATAGGTGGGCCTCAGGTCGCAAACCAGATGATGTTAACCGGGTGTTTGATGGTCATGGTTCAAAATGGAATGATACAGTTATTGTGCCAGATGCGGCAAAGTTGAATGAGGACATAAATAGAAATATCTGTACACGAGATTCAAGTTCTACTGGTTGGTCTATGAATGATAGATTGAGAAGTAGTGTGAATAATGAGAGTACTACTAATGCTGATCCAACTAGTAGTTGTGCAGCAGCTAAAAACAATGAGAAGGAAGCCCTTCAGTGGAAGCCAGATAATGCAGGAGTTAGCACGGGTCTTCATGAATCAAGACATGCTGAGAAATGGCTTGGTGGTATGGATATGTCTCCTGATTGGAACTACACAGTCTCATCTGCGAATCGTACTGTGAAAGAAGAGCAGAGTCGCATTCCTCCGTATTCTGAATCTTTCAATGACATGTCTTTAACTACTAGCAAACAGAATGTTAATCGAGAGGCAACAGGTCAAATCAATGTTGCTGCCTCGGTCGTACCACCGATGATAGTTGATAAATCTTTCTTTCCGCCAAAGCATGATTTGAGGGATGACACTGCTACGGCATTGCAATATGATGACAATAGTGCAGTTATAAAAGCTGTCAGTTCACGTGCTGACCTAAACATCTCTGCTAATATTACACCAACTCAAAGTTTTGACCAGAATGTCCAGTGTGCGAGTGTTTTTCCTTTTTCAAGCTTGAACACAACTGGGCAAAGTCAAGTAGTGATCCCAACTGTACCTCAAGGAGGAATTCTAAAAAATCCACAAAATAGCGCACCATCCATAGAGGCAAATTCCACTACAAAACCAGAGTTTCTGGATGCAAAAACATCATTAGTTAATTCTAGAATTGCTCCAACTCAGAATATAGGAAGTGGTGAACAACTCACCAACCTTACCAATCTTTCAGCTTCGCTTGTGCAGTTATTGGGAAATGGACAGCAACTTCCACAACTTTATGCAGCTCTTAATTCCAACAACTCAACGGGTGCCCCGTCCTTTGCCAACACCGAAGCGCTTGTTTTTCCAGTTTCTACATCTAGTGTTCAACCAGATCCAGCCATTGTGCCACATAAGCATTATGATCCTAGACAAGCAAGCACAGAATCTAAAAGGCCTGAAATCAGTAACAGTCCTTCGGGTGTCTTACCAAATACCACTATGAAGACAAGTGTTTCATATGGAAGATCTGAAATGCAATTACAAAACCTAAATCCACAGCCCTTGTCTGGGGCATTAGGTTTGGATTCCAAACAGCCTGGTGATTTAGTAGAAGAACCCAAGCAGGAGATGCAGGGTTTGACTACACTGGAGCCAAATGTGAGTTCCGATTTTAGCAAGGGAAAGAATGAACTGGGTTCTGGGGATAACAAGAAAGCACTGGAAGAAAATAGGAAAGTCGAAGACGGTGATCCTGTGGATGGGGTAGATAAAGAAGGGGCTAATGACGGCAAGAAAAGCAAGGACTCAAAGGGAAGCCGTGCATTTAAATTTGCACTCGTGGAGTTTGTTAAAGAGCTTCTAAAACCAACATGGAAAGAGGGTCAAATTGATAAAGATGCTTACAAAAACATAGTGAAGAAGGTGGTCGACAAAGTGACGAGTACTATGCAGGGGGCTAATATTCCCCAAACGCAAGAGAAGATCGATCATTATCTGTCATTTTCAAAGCCAAAGCTTACAAAACTTGTACAGGTGAGTGCTTTTCACAATTTCCCATTATGTGCACACGTGAATGTTACCTACAAATTCCGAAGTAATGTCTATTATAACGTTGTAATGTTATTTACTCAAACTGAAGTTGGCTTTGTCGTCTTATGTCGCAACAAAATCTTTGTAATTATACATAATGTTTATTATTGTTCACTTTTTCTATTATCCTGACCCTGTTTATAACTTAGTATTCACTTTTGCTATTATCCAGACCCTGTTTATAACTTAGTATTCAACTCTATCCTCTTGTAAATTGCTTTAACTAGAAAACTCTCTCTATTTCTCTCTGTCTCTCGGTCTCTACGCATGCAAACATGCTTGCGCACATGCACACACTTGTACATAGCTTTTTTAAAATTATTTATTTAGGCATTATTGTTTTACTTCATTATTTTGTTGTTAGTTGTGATCTAGAATGGGATGATGCTCTACATTATGTAGCCCGACAGAGTCTCAAAAGCCTTATCGAAGTATTTGTTTGTGAAAGAGTGCAATGTGGTTTAGATTAGTTGAAAAATTTAGAATTCACTCTTTGTACTTTAGTCCTTTTTCTCGTGTTTTTGAGGTTTTTCTCATCTTATGGTGAGCCCAACCTCCGCCGGCCCACATGATGCTGGTAAGTCAATAGGTATCAAAAGCTGGTCTAAATTCCATGTGGGTGACCTTTTGGTGGATTCAAAATCAGGACCTTCCGCTTGAATGTTATGGTCCACTCAAACCGAACTATTCTTTAGAATCGACCTTTAGTTACTGTCATTGTCATTAAATTTACTTTCGTCTCTTTTAGTACCTTTTTATGCAAGTGCCTCTTTTTATGTTGCCTCTGCAACTTGCAAGTTTGTGGTAGGACTTTTTTGTTATGTTTTGTTTGCTGAATTGCCAAATGGCTGTTTGTTATGCTGTTTTGTGCCAATGGTAGGCTCACAGTTTTTTAATTAGTTGCTCTCTACACTTCTTCTTTAGCCATTTATTTGTATTTTAATTTTCTTCTAAGATCATGTTGTAAGTATTCATTCCTTTATTCGGTTGTTGCAGGCATACGTGGAAAAAAATCAGAAGGGCTAAACGAGACATCAAATTCAAATTTCTATTTATATGTTCCCTGTACCATAAAGCAAAGCTGTCATGACAGTGCATTTGTATTTTATGCTTCTGCACTCCTACAAAATTCCCAGTTTTATATGTTTCTTAATGTTTGTTAACATGGTCAGGTAAAACTTAGAACTAAAAATGGTAGATATTATAGCTTTGTGTTTGGATTTTTAGTATTTGGATAAACTTTCAGCATTTGAGTATGGGCATTTTATAGTGCTTCTTAGTAATCAGTTTTGCAGGGATTGGATAATCTTTACCTAAAAATGTCGAGGAGCTCCGTGAGCTCCAACGTCGGAGGTAGGTTCTTCCGCAATGTGTGGGGCCAACCCGTGTCGAAATGGCCGTAACCCCGGTAATATTCTATGGAGGGAGATTGGACTTCTTATTTTTATGTTTCATTTGTTACATGTTAAACTCTAGCTTGACCTCACTCGGGCAGAATTTCTTGCTTTTATCCTTTTGAAAGTGTGTCTGCCTCTTGAGTACGTTAACCTAGAAGACTTTCAAAATGGTCAAAGAAAGAAAATGTATTATTATCACATTATGCATGCAAATGTGCTGTTCTTCCGTGTAAGAAATAGCCGACAGCATGGACAAAGGGCTGCTTGACGAAACCAAACGACCTTATATATTGAACTTTCCCACTTGGATATATACTATAATATCACAATGGATTATTCATCAAGTTCTGCTAGCTACTTTTGGATTTATATAAGCAAAATCAACAAAAATATGAATTAACTTGGAATTTCTTGTTTAACTATAATACTATTATTGGCCAATAGTTTATTTTTATTAAAAAGAGCACTTTTTATCATTCCACTTTCTAATAGACAAATTAAGCACTAAAAATGGATGAATATTGTTCTTCCTTTCGAAGGAAAAAGAAAAAAAAAAAATTCATTCTCTGCTTTATTTACTTCCCTTTTCAATTCAATTATCGTTTTTTCATTGCATTCATTATGGTTTGACAAACATGTCTTTAAATGTTTAGAGTTCATAAGTAAAGCATGAGCAGGTTATAGGAAAAAACGAGAACTTAGTAGTCATTGAATGCGATATAGTCAATAATTCAGATTCCGAAATTTTAGTAAATATGGCATAATATTTAATTGACATGGTTTTTTAATTGATGTGGTATATTATTATTGTAGGGATGTTAAAAAAGACATGAATAAGTGGATATAGGAGTCTAATTAAAATTTTAGTTGATCTAATATATTATTGTTGTAGTGATGTTAAAAAAGACATGAATAAGTGGACATAGGAATCGAATAAAAAGAATTCAAGAATTAAAAAAAAAAAAAAAAAAACCATGGCATTTCTAGTGATTTTTTTTTTTTTTTCATGTGAAGTGTGAACTATTTTATAGTTTCTACCACTTCATGAGTTGGACCCGATACATAACTTTGTTCCGTACTTTCATCACCCACTATGTCATGAACAATTATCCACCAAAGAGTAATTCCAAAGCATATACCAAACATTAATATGAGGGTTTAAATTAAGGTCATTTTAGTTTTAAAATTAGAACTATGATTTATGGTTTGAATTTGGCTGGTTTTATTTTTTGAGGTGGTTCTGGAACCGGAATCAGAATCAAAAGTTTAAACCATCCAAAATCAAAAGAGAGGTGGTTTTATTTTTTGATGTGGTTCTGGTTTAAAACATAACATCAAAATTCAAACCTTAAATCAGAATCATTCAAACTAAATATTAGTTTTCAAGAACCATTTTTTACTTTTTGCAAACAAAGGTTTGAACATTTCATTACGTCTTACTCTACTCGTTGCAAACAAAGGTTTGAACATTTCATTACATCTTACAAAAAAAAAAAAGGACATTTCATTACATCGTTGTCAGAAACATTATTGGGAAGATATCATAATTAGTATATAGCAAATCAGATAAAACCTAAAAATTTTTGTTTGTCCTACACGCATTTTTACCAAGAAACCATACCTTTTTGTTTTTTTTTCTTGACAAGAAGTGGCAACTAGGATAAAACCTACGGGTACATTACAATATTTGGCATCCAATAACAAGCAAATTCCCGCCTCAAATTCCCCAATCAATTTATTGAAACCAACCAACCATATCCATACTCGTTCATACGTGAGATAATCTTGTGTAATTTTGTTTTAATTTGCTTACCAAAGTCCATCATTTAATGCATCAATGCACAGGGCCAAGTACATTTATGAGCTCCAATGCATATTCTATATTTACCTTTTATTGAAACCCCCCCATATATTCTATACTACCAATATTATAATTACGCGAACTTTCAATTATTTGACTGTGATATAGATGTGAGTACAAACCACAATTTAGTCTAATATAGCATCTGCTAATCATATAATACCGAAGATATGTAAATCTAGCATTCTTCGTTACTGCTAAACCAATTAATGTTGCTTCAAAGATGCCACCATATTATAGTTTGTAAATTAATTAAGGATAGGGTTTCATCAAATAGTTTGACTGTTCAAGTAATGTTTTTGTACTTTATTATTACTGAATCACCAACAGAATAAGGTAGGAATAATTTGAGTTTTCACGTGACGTAAGGATACAAATTTACAATTGAAAAATAGATGGTTACTTTCCTTAGTTACTGCTACAGCTTTCCTTGCTCCCTACATGCATGCAATTGACAACATCGGTAGTAATATAATAAGGATCATATTGATGGAGTTAATTCAGTGGTAGATATTTCAGCCGTTACACTTTTACCAGAATTCTCAACCACTTTATAAATAAGGAGGTTGATATTGTTCTTTCAAATACATGTGTTGATTTAGAAGATATTGATGATCCCGTTTCTAATTAGCAGAGATAAAACTACTAAATAAAATTTAAGATAATCCCAAATGATCAGACATATGCCTTCTTTTTCGCTATATAAATATAGGGTATATAGTATGCGATTTTAAGTTCTAGAGATCAGTTTCAATGTTAAGTTTGATTAGAAAAAAGGACTAACCATTAACTAAAACATAAAAGCCTAAGAAAGGTTAACAAAACCCAAAACCAAAAGCAAACGGGATAAAACATCAAAAGAAGCACGTCGTTATATGTTCTCGTATATCGTGATTTATCTTAATATGTACACGGATTAAAAAGGGATTAAAAAAGTTCCAAGTATAGAGGATGTAGTTTCAACCGCACATTCTTTGGTGAAGCCGAGACGCTACTAGAAGTATATATTCATATATAGCTCATGCATATATAAGCCCTTTCATCGGGACTTGCAAATTAACTAGATTGTCTTTTTTCCACGTCCCCCGATTTTGTACTATACATATATATATATATATGTATGTATGTGTGTGTATATGTTTGTATATATCAAATGACAAGTTAATAATTTGCATTATTCTGGGTACGTTAGGGCCTGAGTTGTCGATTTCATTTTTCTGCAAATGAATCAGAATTATTACTGGTTTCCCTGTGAAGAAGGATCGAATGCAAAGCAACAGAAGCAGCTTGCTTTTTGGTTTCTTAAATGGAAATGGAGGGACAAGAATGAGACGTGACTTGTAAGAACCCCTAGGCTCAATGGCTACGTACGTTAGGGCAGGGAATCAAAGACGGAAAAAAAATAAAATAAAATAAATTTTTTTTGGCTCTTTCCAAACCTATTTGGAGTATCTTATATAGGGTAAAAAGAATATCACGAGTACTACAATCTATTCTGTCAGAAATCTCCCTTAAATTCTATTAAATTCACATGTTTTTTAATTTTTAATATAATTATAATGTGATAAAACAGTTAAGAACTGCAAAATAATCTTGGCAAAGTATTTTTTCTTTTTCACCTTATCATATAATCTTCTTTAATATTTTCCATCTCTTAAAATGTTGAACCCAGAACTCAATATATGAATTGGTTCACGGTTTTAAATTGGTACAGTTTTGAATTTTAGGTTTGAACAGAAAATTCTGAATCTATGTGTTTTAAACTCTAATCCAAACTACCATTAAGAAGTATAAATTAGTCTGAACTCTAAACAGAAAATAAAACATTACACTAGAGAACTGGTGTTTAGATAGTATGAAAATTATCATGAAAAGGCCAGTAATTAATGAAGCCTCTGTTATACGGCAGTAAATAAGTTTTAAAATCATATACGTAAATTAATTAAAGATGGTAAGTTCTAAAAAACTAGTTCAGAACTAATTCAGCCAAATATTTATATTCAAACACCAATTTGAATCAGGCTTAAAGATTCAAACTCATGTGTCAAATACGCTCGATCGAAAACAACTCTCACACCTACTGAACATCATTTTTATGAATAAGAATTTATGTATCCAGTTACCGATGAGCCTTTTTTAGGTCCACATTAAAAGCCAACAAGGGAAACAACGCTTTTTCTTTTACCCTTTTCCTAAATAGGGAAACTTTGAATTTTTTTCTCACTCTGATCTCCACGCAAGTCACTATAATCAAGAATTTATGGTGGGGACAAGTGGGGCGAATCATGGGGTTGAATCTCACGACTCCTTTTTTTTTTTTTTTTTTTTTTTTTTTCTTTTGACAATAATATCAGTGATGGAAAATTAAATGCATATGTAGTCAGATGATCTGATCCTGTCCATTAATATTACTTCTAAAAGTACCTACTCTTCCCCCCCTTTTTTTTCCCTTCTATACATGGTGACAAACCTCAAAAGTATCTCTCCTATTCAAGGCTAATTAATTAGCTCTTTGAACTAAACTAGAACAAGAGGTAAAAATAAATAAATAAATAAGGTTCTCTTGTAGAAGATTAATAATAGAAGCTTTTATCTTGGAAAGAATTCTTACTCGAAAGGAATTAATTTATAATGATCAGCAGCAGGGACAGTAAATCTTATCATATTAATAGTGAAGTTTGTTTCTAATTAGCAGCTAGATTTTTATTATATCTTGTAGAATCTGCGTTTTCTTTGATCATAATATGTACAATGATATAAATTACTAAAGTTCCAGAAAACTCCCATGCGTGACTTGGAGATTAAATGTTGTTTTCTCTTCAATTTTTTATAACTAGCTTACATTTTCCTGGGAATTGAATCGATCATTTCTTGAGTAGGTAAGTTCATAGACAAGTCACCTTTTTAAAGGCTTAACATTGATTGATGCAATATCTGTCCTTGTGAATTAAATCATCATACACACGTACCCTATTAATTAATTTATATTGATGATGATGATCTAGCTGCATACATACATACATACATACATACATACATACATACATACATATATATATGCGATATATTTTCCTTAGTCTAGTTAAGTTAAGCTCTAGGTAGCTTTGCTAGCTTCAACAGTACACATGTACATGCACATGCAGAGGATAATTGATTCACTCTTCAAAGTTACATGACATGTTTCCGTCTTGTGAGTTCAAAAATTAAAAAGAAATAAAAATTATGAATACTAATTATGATGCTTATTTTATTACAGCTAATTACTAATTAGCTTGATATATGTATATTAATTCCATTAATGCACACAAACTAGTGATCTGCTACATCATGCATAGGGGTCTTCCGGAAAACCCTAGGAGGGGCAAGATTAATGATTGCTTTTGTGCATGCGCAAGTGTAGAAACGGCAGATATATAATTTTAACAATATTATTTGGTGTTGG